AGAGAGAGAGAGAGAGAGAGAGAGAGAGAGACAGAGAGACAGAGAGAGAGAGAGACTGTGGGTCAATGCCCAGTATTCCCCTCTAACCGAGAGTGTGTCTGTTAGTGGACACCAGTGTGTGGCATTGTTTCTGTGGGTGACTATGTCAAGGTGTGGGTCGCTGTGTGCTGGTGTGGAGCCGTGTAGTAAGCCGGTGGGCGACCCCCAAGGGTGAAGACACTGGAAGTGGTGTTGGGTATATGTGGGGCTCAGTGTGCTTCTGTGTGGGGTTGCCTCACATTGTGTGAGAGTGTATGTGTCCCAGCAGGGGCTTGTTTCTGAGTATAAATGTGTGTGAAGCTGTGACTGTCCGTCTCTAGCTCTGCATGGGACGGTGATCTGGTGTGTGTGTGTATTAGAGTGCTACAAACTGTGTGTCTGTGTGTGTACGTGTGCGCGCCTGTCACAGTGGCCCAGTCTGCTTCTGGGTGAGTGGGGCAGAGCCCAGAGAGTGTGTGTGTGAGTGTGGGTGTCGTTGTATGTGTCTGGGAAGCGGTGGTTTGGTGTGTGTGTGTCGGCAGTGTGGGGCTGTCGCTGAGTCTGCATCGGAGTCAGAGTGGCGGCGTGCTCCTCTGAACGGCGGTGCCCTGTGCATTTGTGGGTCTGTGTCTGGGTGTGAGCACCATGGTGCGTGTGTTAGAGCCCGTGGGGCTCCCACGCAAGGCTGTGGCTCTGGGTGAGGGGTGGGGGTGTGTGTGTGTACCACAGTGGGTGGCAGCGCCTCTGCTCGTCAGTGGCGCGTGTGGCCCGCCCCGCGCGCGTGTGTCGCGGGCCGGGGCAGGGCGTGGGCCCTCGCCTGCGAAGCCACGACCCCTCCCCCGGCCGGGCGGGAGGTGCGCACCGGCGCCTCTAGGACCCGGCGGCGGCTGGCCGCTGTCCCCGGGCCGCGCGAGTGAGCATGTGCAGAGCCCGGCGCCCGCTCGCCCGCCCGCCGCCCGCCGCCCGCCGCCCGCCGCCCGCCCCGGCTCAGCGCCCGCCAGCCCCGCCGCTCAGCCCGGACGCCGGCAGCCCCGGGGAGCCAGGCGGCGGCGCCCTGTGCCCGGGCCCGTGGGTCCGCTCGTCGCGGGCGGCCGGGGGCGTGCGGACGCCGGGGCTCCCGGGCTCCGGGCACTGCGGGGGCTGCGGGCTCGGCGCCCGGGGGAGGCGGGCCGTGGGCGCGGGTGCGGGCGCCCCAGCCGGCCGCGATCGCCGGGTGAGTCATGCCTTCCGGCGCTCCAGCCGGACCCCCGCGCGGGCTGCGAGCCGGGTGTTCCCCCCGCCGCGGGCAAACAAGTTTGTGCGGACGCGGCTGGGAGCGCGGCGGGGCCGCACCTGCTCCGGCTGCGGAGCGGGCTTGCGGGGCGCGCTTTCTCGGGGCCCCGGGGTGGCTCGGCCGGGGCAGGGGAGAGTGAGCGGGTGCGTGCGGGGGGCGGGAAGCGGGGGGCGCTCGGCGCGGCAGGAATGGGGCGGGGGTGCACGAGGCTCCGCACGAGCCGCGTCCCCCTCCGGAGTGCTGAGAGCCCGTCCGTTTCCCGGCAGGGCGCTGCGGCTGGGCCCGGGGAGGGGGCGAGGGCAGGGTTTGGGGTGCGCACAGCCTCCCTCATAGGCGGCGACGTTTACCCAGAAGCAGCTCCCTCTCGTTCCGCTACCAAGAGAGGCTTCCGGTCAGCGGAGGGTTTGCTCCGTCTCTTGGTGAACTTGAACAGAGGCAGAGGCAAGAGCAAAACGTATGTATTTTGTCCGGAATATTCCCCGGAGTAGAGCTTTGCGTCTTCGTAGGTGTGGACGGAGACCCGCGACTGGAGGCTGTTTGCGTTTTTCTCTGCCACTCAGGTCAGGAGCGTACCTGGCTGGGTCCCCTGGCTCCGGGTAACCTCGCTGGTTGTTTTCCTGAGCATTTGTGCTCCTAGGATGATGCCTGCTCTGCTGATGGGGGGTTGCAGGTGGGGAAGGGGACCTCTCTTCCTTCCGCTGAGGGGTGGGAAGGCTGATAGAGGAGTTCCAGTGCCATCGCCCTGTACTGGGGTCCAGCTGCTGCCCACGCTGGCCCTGTCCCTGCAGCTCCCAAGATGGACAGATGCAGGACTCAGCTGCACTTTTCTAACAGGAGATAGCCCCACCCCTCTTGTTGCTGGAACTGCATGCTTAGGTTTTGGAGGCAATTGGGGTATCCCTCTTTGGGATCGGGAGTGGGGGCCTTTCTTTTTTCCTGATTTGGTTAGGTTGCCTGGGAACAGGAAGTGAGGGCGGTGGGGAGTGAAAGTTAGAGGAGGTATAAAGCTGGCTTGCCTTGCACTGTCTGCAGTCACCCCTCCCGGTGACTGCAGGTGCTGGGGAAAGAGCTAGGGAGGTTTCCTTGGGCTATGGGAGAAGGAGGTTTGCCTCTCTCAAGCATGGCCCCACCCCCACCCCCACACACTTAGATTGACCCCCAGAAGATCCTCTGGGAAGGGGCCTCAACCCGGGAAGGGGCCTCAACCGGCTGCCAGAGCCCAGAGTTTCTAGGAGAAAGAGCAGGAGCTCTCCCAGGCACTGGAGCTGAAGGAGGCTTGGTGGTGGCTGGGCTGGTGACTGAGACTGACCTGCCTCATCTTCCCCACCAGAAGGCCCTCACCTGTGGCTGCATCCTCCCGGCCTCAGCAGGGCCGTTTCCACAGCTGCTCTGTAAAAATGCCTTCTTCTGGGGTGACGGGGTCCGTCTCTTCAGTGGGCATTGGCGCCCTATGGGGTACTGTGCTGCGGCCTGCAGCATGTCTGGCTGGAAGTGAAGAGACGCTGGGATAAGGCAGAAGGCCGGGTGTCTTCCTAACCAGGCACAAGTGGATACTCAGGACCGCCAGTGGGTCTGCTGCTGAAGCTTGAGCCTCAAACCTGATCTGTTTAGCCAGAGTACTGCGGAGTGAGTCACAGAGCTGGTTTCTCATGTCATCAGCCTGAGCAGGCAGCTCAGAGCCTCTGAATCCAGAGCCTCCAGGCCCTGAAAGAATGCCTCAGAGCAGGGCCTCCTGGGAAGTGGTGTTTCTCATCGTAGAAGCTCCTAGCTTGTCCTCCCATCTGGCCCAGACCCCCATCAGCCTTGATGAGACCAGCTCGCTGACTCTTTCTCTGGAGGTACAATGAAGTCAAGGCCGAGGACTTTGGGCCAGCTCAGTGTTTAGACCTTCAGGGTCTTGCCTTAAAATGCAGGTGATAATCATATACATCAGCAGGGTCGGAGCTGGGCCCCAACATCTGGGGCTGCTCATGTGGGGAATGAGGGAATGAACGTGGCCTTCCACTCACCACCCTCTCCCTGGGCCTCCTGGTCTGGCCTTCATGTTCTTCCTTTAATCTCTCCTCATCATGGCTTTGATAGTCATGTTGACATACGGCCTAAAAAATTATCAGAAGTGTGCCACTTGGAGAATGTGGTCAGGGAGGAGCTCTGCATATGCCCTGCCTCCTGGTGTGGATGTGAGAAGTGGATGGAAGAATGGGCTGGATTAATTTCATAAGCTATAAAATACAACGCACCTGCTGGTAGCTAGCTGTTAAGGCCCCTCCCGTCCACTTCATTTCCCTTCCTTTGCTGCTGGAAGCCCCTGGAGATGTGAGCTTTCTCCCAGAGAGTGGCTCCTTTGGCATGAGGGGTCGTGAGTATTCTGAGGACAGGAGTGTGCAGCAGGGTGTCTTGGGCTCCCTCCCATAGCCCAAGTCCCCTGTCCCAGTGGCAGCATCAAGCCGGGCAGGTCTGACTTTGGTTGGGAACCCCACTCACTTGTCCACCTGTATCCAAGTCACTCAGTGGGATTTGAATACCTGTTTACCTTCTAGATTCTGAAATGGGCCCGAGACGACTCTTAAGTTTTCACCACCAGGTGGGAGAAACACATGAACAAGTGAACAAAATGGTTCTATAAAAGAAATAGCCTAGGCTAGATGGGGTGGCTCACACCTATAATCCCAGTATTTTGGGAGGCCAAGGTGGGTGGATCACCTGAGATCCGGAGTTCAAGACCAACCTGGTCAACATGGCAAAACCCATCTTTACTAAAAATACAAAAATTAGCCAGGCATGGTGGCATGTGCCTGTAATTGCAGCCACTCGGGAGACTGAAGCAGGAGAATCCCTTGAACCCAGGAGGCGGAGGTTGCAGTGAGCTGAGATCACGCCACTACACTCTAGCCTGGGTGACAGAGTAAGACTCTGTCTCAAAAAATGAATAAAAATAAATATAAATAAAATAGATAGCTGGAAAATGTTGCGATTGGCCGTTTCAGTAGTAAGAAAGGCTCCAAATCAGCTGACTGGAAAAGAAAAATGCCAGCCCCTAAAATGGTGCTTGGAAGGACCTCTGTCCCTGGTATTGTACATATGAAGACCATGTGATATGGTTGATGATGATATGCGCTTGGAATCAGAGCCATTTAGCAATAACTGTATTTGTTTAAGTTAATTGGGCTTCTGTCTTAGATTCTGCATCTGTAAAATGGGGATGATAATGATTTTGACCACAGAAATGTGTGGGAAGATTGCTCATTCATTTGCTCATCTGATCATTCATCTAATGCACTTGACGGTTGGTGAAAGTACCTTGAACTCTAATGTGGTATGTTAAAGTTTTTATTTATATCAGCCCCAGCAGTGGGTTAACTGCAGTGTTTTTCCTCCTTTGCATGGAATGGAGTTTTGACCTATTATGTTTTATACCTTTT